AATATTGTGCGTTGTATTTAAGCTGCTCTACTCTTCCTGATTCCACTGCAAGACCCTCCCCACCCCAGCACCTCTATTTCATTTCAATCTGACCTAATCAATGTCATGTTTTGTCACTGATGCTGATCTGTTCTGTGTCGGATACAAAGTAAAGTAAGAGTACCACATCAATAATAATAATAACTTGAATTTATATAGCACCTTTCAAAAAACCCAAGGACACTTTGTATGTGTCACCAGGGGGAAAAAGACGAAAATAATCCACTCATAACAGGACAGAAATAATTAGCACTGATGGCAGGGTGGAGCGTTAACTGAGTGAGGCCAAAGTAAAATTAAGTAAGTTCATGATTTTGAATATACTTAAAGTATTAAAAATATAATTGCTTGCTGAGTGTAGCCGCTTCCCTAATGCAACAATCTTCTCAATCATTACGGCTGAGTCTGGGACTCTTCTGAAACTCTTTCAAGAGTTTCTTCACCACTGATGTCACGGCCACACATACACAAATGTTTCAGGGACGAACCCTCACCTCCCTTTCACTTCCAATCTGTGTGAGTGAGAAAGTGAATAAGAGCTTCTTGTGGTGAAGCAAGTCATTGTCATTTTCAACTTTGGCGAACTTTGACCTCTGGTGTTCGCTTGACATTTGTACATGTGTAACCGCACCCGGATGCTGTTGCAGGCACGTTTTGCTCTCGCTGAAAGAGGCAGGGTCTAATGTTACTGCCGGCTCTGACTGGATCAGTGGACCTATTCCCCCTCTCATTATTGAGTATTTTTGGAAATATAAAATAACAATGTAGAAAGGAGAAAGTCAAAAGTACCAAAAATAAATGGAGGTAAGGGATATGTGCTCTCCCTACCTAAGCCTTTCTCCACGTATGCATGTGGAAGAGCAGCGAAGTTCCAGAGCAGAGCCGTACTGCCAAACATAACATATTACTATTATTGAAATCTTATTAATTTTAAAAGTGCTCCTCTCAAAAGGAAGAAAAACCAGGCACTTCTGTTCTGTTCCCATCTGGCTTCAGCTTTAAACTTTATTTCCAGTGATATTATTTTTCCACACCCCTCCTCCTTACTGACCCCTGACGACGGTTGGCTCCAACCTGACCTGAAACAGTAGCGGATCCGATCGACACACAAGCAGGGCCAAGCGGTCCGCTGTCAAAATATTTTATTCCCTCGCTTCGGCTAAACAATGGAACAGAACTTCAGAGTCGAGTCAATATAATATTGGTTTTCTCCCACTTCCTGGCAGGAGGTGCTCTTAATCTCCACGAGCAGAAAGGATGTGAGAGGTGGTGGTTTCATTTAACGTCTAGTTAGTGTCTTCTTTTCATCTCTGGGTTACAGATTGAGCTGCAGGCCAAACACAGAAGGCCCACTGTTGGAGAACAGCTACACGATGACAGACCCACCAAGAATGTTGCCCAGACCACCACTTGTAACACAGCACCAGAGCTCCCTTATTAAGGAGTGAAATAATTTCCACCAAAGTGGTTGGTGGTGCTGACAGCTCAGATTAATGCTCTCTGTAAAACAGCCAGAATAACAACTGCTCCTGCATGCATCGTGAAAACCAGTACGTTTGGCTGAGGGAAGCCTGCCAGCTCTACAAATTCATGCATATTTGGGTCTGTGAACATCTGCCAGTGCAAATAATTTATGCTGTTCTCTCAGCTAAGGGGCAGCGAATCCCCTTAGAAAAGTTTTCTCCAACTTCTACAGCAAGCCTGCGCGCCCCC